ACCTGACCAATTAAAATGAGCCAGAAGTAGACAATATTCCGTCTCATAAACATGGATAGAATGAGGTTTTCGCCCTAATCATCAATGTTCGCCAGTCAGTTATTCAACCCTCCCCACTGAGTATTGTGAGGCTTATTTAAGTGATTGAAAGATGATATTTTATGTTCTGATAAAGTCTCTATATTTCACATCCTGCTGAGAAACACAATTTCCGCAATCACCTCTTTACAAGCCTGTCATGCTGTTACAAAATATGAACCATGGGTTAGGCATCAATGTGTTAAACAAACTATCAGCATTTAGGATGTAGTGGCGGCAAGATGTTTAGTGAAGTAAGCGGGAAAGTATAGTAGTATTATAGTTATAAATGGGGTCATAGATCACAAGATGAGATCGATGGAAAGTAAAGAGAGTGCATGTGTGAGGACAGCAAGACTGATGATAGGCAATAAGGAACTTATAGAATTATGGGTGTTATTAGAGTTTTATCCAATCCAAACCGAGTGATGGCTTTTCCAATTTAGGTTGCAAGATCATAAGAAGTTAAACAGTTAATTGTGAAGGCAATAGATTGCGTTCTTATCAGCCAGGTGCAGTTGAAAATCATCGATCAAATCAGTGAGTAACCTGTTTATCTCAAGTAAAAATTAAAGAGATTTGTAGTCACCTAGAAGAATTTAATACTACTTAGAATAGAGAGGAAGAATAAAGCAGAATACCGCTCTGGATTCGACATAGTTTACATGTGTGAAGGTCTGATAGTCTGAAAGCATGTTGGTAGTGAGTTCACGCGTGCAGAGGAATCTGTGCAACCAAGGGCTTCATTAGGAAGTTTTACAAACACATGCAGTTCATCTTTCGAGCGAAGGCTATTCCATGTAAGTGCATAATTGTTGAGAGAGAAGTTTTCCCTAGTTTTTGATCTGTACTTCACAAGTTTGACCGTAGATACTTTATCTCGAAGGTTGTGTATACATGGGCCTTGGTTAAGGACCACACCACAAGAGGAGTGTGTGAACTTGTGCAAGAGCTTGAACTGAAGGATTGGATCGCCTTCTTTACGAGAGTGGTTCAAGTCCAAGTTCATGACATCGGGTGGGATAGTCAGAGTGAGATATTTTTAAGTATATTACGAGTGAAACTCCTTTGTATTCCTTCAACATTCAAGGCATCAAATAGGCATCGGTTGGAAAGTGAAAATGAGAAGTATTTAGCAACAGGTCTTATGCAAGTTTTGCCGAGAACTATTCTGGATTCTCTGTGAAGTAAGTTACGAAAAATGGAACCCAACATTTTTCTCATTTGGGAAACTTTATTGGAAATATGTTCAGCGAAGTTTAGGCTGTACGACCAATTCACTCCTAGATGATTTATTGATGTGAGTATTGGCAGCATTTTCCTGCTGAGGGTGAGCTTTACTTCGGAAGATGCGTCTCAAAACACATCCAGCCACATTTCCCAGTATTCAGTTCTAAGTCCCAACGCATACATCAGTTATCTACATTAATGAGCTCAAACTGGATTGTTTACGTCAAATTCCATATGCAGTGGAACACTTCTACGAAGAAAACGCGATTGATTTAAAATAAACATTTATTATTGTACTCGTTTTGTTTAACTCTACCGAAAACACTTCCTGCGCGCAACGTTGTCTTTGTTTTGCTGCCATTTTTCTCTATTTGCTGTTCCCGATGTAACGCTTAAATTCTCCTTCAATAAAATACTCAGCCATGGATATATTTCTATATACGTGACGGGACAGTATGGAACATTTAGTGGTGATCATAGTCACTCTGGTATCTCTCACCACTAAAGTTCTTTTTCGCGTTGCTGCCGTCTTTCATAACTTGCTGTTCAATGTAACGCCTACTTTCTTCTTCAAATATATTGTCAACCCTGGATTTATTTCTAAAATTGGTGACGGGATAGTAATGAGTATTTAGTGGTGATCATAGTCAATCTCGACTCGGTCACCACTAAACATATGTCACATTTGTTGGTTCTATATATCACTTTTGGTTCATCAACATAAACGTAGATTTGCCTGTGTTGAAGCGACTGCACACGTTGTTGATGTAAATTATGGAAAGTAGTTGGTCGGAGACATTACCCTGAACAATAACAATGGTAATTGATCAAGGTGTAGGTGTTGTAGAGTTAATTTTAGTAGTTTGTTATCTATTCGTAAGAAAAGACACAATCACTTGCAATAAGAGGCCAGTAAACCTGATGGACTTAATCTGTTGAATAAGAGAACATGAGGCACATTATCGTAAGCCTTCTCTATATCAAAATACCATACAATCACTTGTTGATTTTGATCGTGTATACTGGCAATTTCATTAGAAATATCTATCATACATGCAGTGCATGACCTAGTTCTGATGAAGCCGTTAAGGGAGTCGAAATTTTATGTTGGAGTCTCTCTTAGATAACGAACTAAGTGCTTAACAAGTCTGAGTTTTCACAGACTATCAGACTAAGTTTCAAGGACAGATTAGTCATTTTAAGCCTAGCTGCCTCGGTCAACTGATCTCTTCCCAGTTGCTGCTACGGTAGCATACACACATTGATTCACTCGCAAACACGAGACTTGTCGTAAAGTTACTGGATTCACGCGAAGTCACATACTAAGACGATCAAAAGCGACGTTGAGATTTCGGGTGACTCTCAGGTTCTGTTCTTGCGTAGTACATATTAACTCAATTTTAATATTATTTCCTCCTTCAAAACTTATATCTGACGTATTTTCTCCTTCAGTTTATCTCGTGCTCTCTTGAATCTATTCGGCAACATGTTCAGTAATAGCGTCGCTACCACTTCTTGCACTATAACAACCAGAAAAATAAACAAAGGTATGAATTTTGAGGCTATCAGTGAGTCAAAAATCCCAGTCTCGAGCGACAGAATTGTGATTAACTCAAAACGCCACTTGATAGTGAACCTTGAAGTAGTGCGAAGAATTCGGGTCACTCGATCTAAACACAACCGGGTGAAGACCACGCACATGGCGCGCAACAATGGCGACGTTTATCACGATGCATGGACTTTCACACCACCATATCAGTTGGCGTTTCCCGCCCGCCTCGTCCATCACATCTTACTATCATTAGGTCTCCATTTCTGATGACTGTGGACTTCAGAAATCGAGGAGACCAAACTGGGGTACCTTAGGCTTGGTACAGCATGAATAACGATCTCTGTAGTTAAATTAGATGTTTCAAGAGCCGACCTATATCTGTGAGACAACATTAGAGACGCCAAAATAAGCGCACACTAATGTCAGTCGACCTCAATCAACAACCCATGGCACAAGACACAAAGATCATGGTCTCGCCAGGTGAATACTCTACGCAAGCAAACATTATGCAGCGGCCAGTTCTCACAGGCGGAAAGGAAAGCCTGGCAAAAGTGGAAAAGTGCAAGCGAGCTAGTTAGTTTCAACACCAGAAGCTTCACAGGGAACCATATTAATTACTTGTTAGATAAAATGAGTTCGGCGGTACTAATCTACTTCAGACAATCAAAAGATCCGGAGGTCCATTAGAAGCGAAGATGATTCGACTGAGCTTCAAAAGGACCTTACATCCAATGAGGAGTGGGGAGTGTAAGAAGGTCTAGCACTAAACCAGTCGAAACGTCACGTTATGTTAATTCTGCTCCACATGATGCAAACGACTTACATCCTCAACGGAAGTCCTCTCTAAAATGTCTCCTGAGAACACGGTCTCAGTTTGGTAACCATTGGAAGCCTCCACACTAGTTCGAAATATATAGGGGAATCAGCCAAGGAAAATGTAACTCTTCACTTTATGCGAAGAAAATTTGGTGTGATCAAGCCAGAATTATTCTTAAAGTTGCCTAAGACATGCGTGCTCACACCTTGAGGTTCTCAACTTAAAAGAGATATTTCTCTTCTGCTGAGTGCGAAGAGGAGTAACAAAATAAGTGATAAGGTTGAGGAATACAACTTACGAAGATAGACTCCAGCATTTTGGGTCATCCTCCCTGAGTTAGAGAAGAATCAGAGAATATCTGTTTATGGCGTTGAACAAGCCAAAACATCCCCACGTGAGTATCTTCCCGAAGCATCATCACCATGCCTCTCAATGTTATCCTCAAAAAGGTGCACATCAAAGAGCGAACATTCATGTTTGCGCACACTTTTTCTCATAAGAGTTGTTACAACTTGGAATGCTCTCCTAGCGGAAGTGACCATAGTCCCCTCAGTGGACAGCTTTAAGGAGAGAATTTATAAACACTTACTCACATACGGATTATCATCTCCCTCGTGGACCAGCTGTGCCTTACGCATGTCTTTGGACCTGCTAGTTTATATTATTACCATCTCCGCAGATCAATAACTTAATCTATCCCGCTTGTTGTCTCTGTTCCCCCTTCCTTGCTTACACTTCGGCCCTCTCGCACAATCTTCACTATCAATTAATAAACCAAATTATCGATTCATTGACTTCGTTCTGAAACATTCTTCTTCTGCCCTGAAGCAAACGTACTCACTCAAATCACGGGACATACACACTCACAAACCACTAACAACTGACCAGAATTAGTGCAGTCGGGTAGTGAGACTACTATCCATTGGACTTTAACAAACACCTGGAACCGTACCGAGAGAACAAGAATCGAGCTGAAGGAAATCAGTTGGTTTATACTAGCTCGGGTAAAAGATATTGGATTTGGTCTTTTTTCCTACTGGCCGCCTCGAGAATCACTCGTTCGTGTCCTTGTTCCTGATCTGCCTGACCTTGATGTGGCAGTCGAGTGTTATGGGGCTCGGTGACAAGTGGTCTCGACTGGCAGCTTTAACTGTTAAACGTAGTAGATACGCGGGGCTAGCATTTTCTGTCCCGATATTCGGCTCTCTCGTCTGCTATGTTTACTTACACAATGATAGTAAACGAGCAGTTTACAATCATATTTTAACAGCCAAAAGATTCCTGAGGTATTTGTGACCCAGCCATTACTAATTTCACTGTTAGAGCTGTTTATACTGGGACTCTTATTTCACTAGACTATAAATGGACTATGACCGTATATCCACATGCAAGTAAAGTCCGTTTATATATGTTTTTGTGTTGTCCTGTATCTTTAGGGTTCTAAACACTATCATGATGAACTGACGAAATGTCATCAAAGAGCAGCAGACAGAATATTACAAGGTTGTCTTCATAATGGAGGTTTATATATTAAGATGGGACAGGGTTTAGCTAGCATGAACCATGTCTTACCTATTCAGTACACGGAAACGTTGGAAAAGTTGCATGACCAGGCACTTGTACGTTCAACGGACGAAGTAAGTTGATGAAGCGTTCATATTAATTCAGTAAATCACCGTTTACTGTGCTTCGGCTTTGGTGGTTGGTCAGCCAGTTGCAAGTCTGAACACACGAGGCCGCTTTACAGTCATTGTTTCAACTTTCTTCCGGATGTACATTGTATTGACTTCTTCACATCTAGGGGAAAAATAAGGTATCAGATTCCTCTAAACTGTCAAGTTAACCGTAGCTTGTCCGGACTCATAGGTAATATATCTGTGGCAGGCAGTTGCAACAAGTTACATAGTACTTAGATATATGCTCGACAGGTTCAACATATTTACTTCTCCCTTTACAAAATACGATATCTAACTGGAGTTATCAGTATCAAATGTTGTGAGTTCGTAGCCGTACTGTTTTTATCCTAGGTACCACTGAAAATTATGTAACTCATCGGTCAAGCGAAACATCTAGATGCCAACCGTTGAGGCTCTGATATAAATGTTTTAAGACCACAACTTTAAACCTTGTTATCTTTTACTAGATGTGAGACTTGGTATATGATATGTTCCAGGTTGTATAGTAACTGTGACGAATTGACCGAGTCCTCTATTTGATCTCAGTTAATTCTGTCTTTTAGATAATCCAAGCTACATTTCTGGGACTATTACTAAGTTAGTTCATACAATGAAGTTACAAATTAAGGGTAAGATTAATTATCATTAATTGGTGGCTTACGATTTCAAGTAGGCTACAAAATTTAGCTTTAGCTGTATTGAGTGTTGTATTATCGTACTGTTTAGTCGCTGACATGCGTTATACATTACAACAACTCATCAGATATGTAGGTTAATCAGTTAGGCTTGAGTTCTTATTGGCATATATCAGCTGTTTAAGAATACAGAACTTTTACCTTACAGCTTCTCAGTGAGTTTGTTACGCAATATGCGTGCAAACATTTAGAATATCAGTCGAAAATTCATATTTTTCGAGTCAGTGTTGGTTAGGGTTAGCCTACTTAATTTATTTTGCTTTTGAACAAACTAAATTACCTGTTTTTCTTTCTATGTTGATCTACGACTTTTGGACCAGGAATTCTGCTTTTACTTGCTACCATACGGATCTCGACCGTGGTAGTCAGATTTACCTATCGTGATGACCCGACCGAGCTATATTGGCAGTAAAGTATGTTCCTTTAGATCTTACCATGCCAAGTAGGTCGATTGGAGAACAGTAAGACTAAAAACAGCCACATAAGGTATGAGAGTGAAGGCGTACTGCTGGCTGTATAGAGATGTGACAGCAGTGAAGTGTTTCCCTCGGATAAACATCATATGTGTCGATGCTGCCTTAATAGAAGGAAGGGGTTAGAAAAGGTCGACCCTTAGAAAGTCACCAACGTTTCCTACGGATTCCCGTCCCTCGGCGATAAGGCCTTTTGAAGAGCAAAGCTATCACGTTAGCAACTTACCATAAAAAGGTCGTTCATGACCGATCTTGAGCAATTGCCCGTTCGGCTCTGCGGTCACACTCCCATGTAGCTATGACCAACGCTAACCCAATTTCCTTTTCAGGCTCGAAAAATTCTCTTCCACAATGTGGGTAGCCGGGAAGTGACATCCACTCATATCTGTAACAGCACACCGAATCAACTTGTTTATAATCGAATCCTTCAGTCAGTTAGCAACAACGTAGAACTTTGTACGTACGTACATCAGTTCAAGTTGCCATACCACATTTGCCCAGAGACGCAATAGTCAATCGAAATGCCATAGTGGTGGAGGTAGTAAAGCTTGAGCATTAATCGGAAAGACTAGAGGTTGAAGATGTTATTCAAGGCGTATAATCTAGTGAACTAAGAACAGTTTAACTGGCTTTCGGCCACACTTTGGTTGCTCACAATCTCCAGTCAACCTGACAAGTTTCATGTAACTCCTCCAACTCTTAATGAGGTTGAGCAGCAGGTCCTGATGTATTAACCCCTGAGATCTTCAGGGATAGTGGTCTAATTTTAGCAGTTATATTGACCGAGACCTTAGGTAGAATCTAGGATTTGGACGTAATCCCATCTGACTGGTCTCAATTGCTGATTGTCCCGGTCTATAAGAAAAGACAAAAGTCTTCTAACAGTCACAGAGAAATTAATTTAATTAACGTAGTGTTCAAGATATTAGCTTCACTAATATTTCAACGCCTAACTGGAGCTCGTGAAGAGCAGGCTGGTTTCAGACCTTGGCGTGGCCGTATAGACCAGATTTCCACACTTCGTCAGGTTCTAGAACGTAGGCACACGTTGACTCCCGACAATTTTTGTACCCCTTGACCTTCTGTAGGCGTTCGTCTCTTGATCGTGAGATTTTGTGACTATGCCCGTCACTGAAAGCTGTACCAAAGAACGTTAACCTTACACAAGCTTTCTACTCGAACACTGCTGGTCGATATATTCTTAGCTTACTAGTATCTGGTCATCGGTGTCTTTGAAGCATTGCTCGCATATCCTGGAACCATCGAGCAAGCAATTCTGGAGTTAAGAAAAAGGTACTGGGTAAGGGGTATAGCAATTCGTACGATATACTTCTTCGCGGGACAACAAATGTTACACCACGAACTCAGAGAATCAAGAAAGAAACATCTTCTAGAGGAAGAAGTATATTTAATACTGGCCTCGTGATATCGAAATATCGAGGCAAGAGGGCATACAAAAAGCTAACGTCCACGCAGAAGACGTGCAAAGAGGAGAATGGGAGTAACACGCTTGGCGTGTGAGAGCTAGTCTTTTGTACAGATTAACAATAGGTGTACAGTATAAAAATTATTGTCAGAATTAAGTACAATAATAAATCTTTATATTTCAGCAGTTGTGTTTTCTTCGTTGGTGTAGGTATAGTATTGAGTCGTAGGGCAGAACTAGCGCTCCTAGACTGGATCCCTGTAGATAGTCGCTTGTGCGCTATCCGACTAAACGGGTCAGTAAGGATTCGGAAAGATAGGGACACTCGCCGTTGCCTCTTCGTCGTATCTGCCTATGCCCCCTCTGACGAGGTGAAAGATGAGTTTTACAGAAAGCTTTTGGATTTCTTCCGAAACGCTAGGCGCTCTGACATAGTAATAATGGCTGGTGACTTCAATGCTCAAGTAGGTAGACTAAGTGAAAATGAAAGACACCTAGGTGGATGTTATGGCGTCGCGGCTCAGAGAACAGACAATGGTGACCATCTGTTGCAACTATGCTCAGATAACCGCCTATTCTTAACAAACGCTAACTCTAGGCATAAGGAGAAGCATTTCTTGACCTGTCGACCTCCAAAGTTATCTCAACGTTGGACCTAACTAGATCACGTTGCCATCAGCCACCGACGGAGAGGTTCGATGAAGGACTGCCGCTCGTTCTGGGGCACATGTTTAGATTCAGATCATGCCCTAGTGCGAGTGCGTATCTGTTTGAGGCTTACTGGACGTAGGAAAGACACCGTAAGGAAGCCTCTTAGGGTTTTACTTAATGATAATAAAGCTAGGAATACATTTCACTAGCAACTAGAGAGTTGGGCAACCATGTGAGCGATTCCCATCCGGAGGCAGGTTGGAATGATATCAAAAATTTTGTGGAAACAGCAGTGATATCTGCTAGTAAGGTTAACCGTAAGGCTAGGATGAAGCCGTGAATCTCAATAGCATCTACCGAACTGATGGATGCTCGAAAACACCATGCCTGGCTCTGAGTGCGATAAGAAGCGGAGTTAGCTTAGACGTAGGCTGACAAAAAGCTTACGCAATGATCGAGAACGGTGGTGGGTGGCGAAAGCAAAAGCGATGGAGAAGGCAGCGGTGATAGGCAACAGTAGGCAACTATTTAGACTCATCAAGGAAACTGGTATTAGTAACCCATATGTGAGTGAGACCACTTCGGAAAAGGATGGTCTTATTATCCATTCTCAATCCAGGAGATTGGACCGATGGGCAGAACACTTTAGGGATCAGTTCAACTGGGCTCGAGCCACTCTTCGGTCACGCACAATCTCCAGTCATCCTGAATGACAAATCGATTTAGGTCCTCCTAGTCTTTATGAAGTTGAGAAAGCGTTAGGAAATCTGAAGCGAGGGCGAGCTGCAGGTCCTGATAGACTGACCCCTGAGATATTTAAGGATGGCGGTCCATTTTTAGCAGCTAGGTTGACTGAGATCTTAGGTAGAATCTGGGAACTGGACGTAATCCCATCCGACTGGTCTCAATCACTGATTGTCCCAATCTATAAGAAAGGATAGAAGTCTTGTGACAATCACAGGGGAATCAGCCTAACTAATATAGTATTTAAAATATTGGCCTCAATAATACTTCGACGCTTAACGAGTGCTCGTGAAGAGCAAACTCGAGAAAATCAGGCTGGTTTTCGACCTGGACGTGGTTGTATAGACTATATCTTCACGCTACGACAGGTCCTGGAACACTGACCCACATTTAGGCGTCCTACAATAGTTGTTTACCTGGACCTTAAGGTGGCATTTGACTCAGTGGATCGTGAGGTTCTGTGGCAGTGTCTGTCATTGAAAGATGTACCAAAGAAGTACGTTAACCTTATACAAGCTCTCTACTCGAACACGACAGGTTGAGTGAGAGCTTAGGCAAACTCACCGGAATTCTTTACTTCAAGTGTTGTCCCTCAGGAATGTCCTCTCTCTCCATTCTTGTTTAGTTTTATCATAGACATGCTCCTAGAAATAACCTTATCCTCATCTGAATTTTCAGGAGAAGACCTACCAGGTGGCTCGCTTATGCCGATGACATAGTTCTACTTGGTGAAGACGCTGACAAAATTCAGAGTCTTCTGACCACCCTAAGCAACAGTGCGAGCATGTTCGGGATGCGGTTTTCCCCCTGGAAATGCAAATTTTTGCTTCAAGATTGGGTTGTCTCGGCACCTGAACTAGTGATAGGGAGTGAAGTAGTCGAGCGTGTTGACCGCTTCACTTATCTGGGAAGTCTCATCAGTGCCGATGGCCTGGTGACTGACGAAATCTCAGCTCGGATACAGAAGGCTCGATTGACTTTTGCCAACCTGCATCACTTATGGCGTAGACGAGATATCCGTTTGCTGATTAAAGGACGAGTGTACTGCGCAGCAGTTCGCCCCGTCTTACTTTATGGCTGTGAAACATGGCCAGTGAGAGTAGATATTCGTAGGTTACTGGTTTTCGATTACAGGTGTCTTCGGAGCATCGCTCTTATATCCTGGGACACTCGATTGAGCAACGCTGTTATTAGGAAACGGGTGCTAGGTAAGAATGGTAGATCAATAGATGAAGTGGTGAAACTTCATCAGTTGAGGTGGTTGGGAGATGTGCAGCATATGCCTAACCACCGACTGCCTCGACGAGCTTTGTTTTGTAATGTAGGAGTGGGTTGGAAGAAAGGGGTGGCCAGACCAAAACATGACAGAAATCCATGAAGTCATTGACGAGTGAACTGAGCCATGTCGGTAGTTGTCGACTACCTGGTTGGGGTCCGCGAGATGATAATAATCGATGGTTAGATGCCCTGAATGACATGGCTCAAAACCGTTCGCAATGGCGCCAGTGTATTTATTCTTCGTATTCTCTCAAATGCTAATCTTCTGGATTCTTCAACACCTCTAGTTTTTACTTTCTAAACTTATCTCATTGAATCATACTTCTTGAATAATATCTTCTAATTCTAACCTCTCCGATTACTTCTAATACCTTTACTACCTCTTCTTTTATTGGATTTGAATTGACAATTATATCTCTGTGCTAATGTGGTATGGCAACATGAACTGATGTACTTACGTACAAACTTCTACGTTGCATCTGACTGACCGGAACCGCTACAAGGGATGGCAGATCGATTAATGAAGTAGTGAATCTTCATCGGTTGAGGTGGTTGGGACATGTATTACGTATGCCTAACCACCGATTAGACTGGGAAAGAAGCTAAGGGCGGCCAAACGGAAACATTGTTAAAATCCATGAAGCCGTGTTAATAGGTGTAGACTACCTGTTAGGGGTCTGCGAGACGATAGTAACCAGTGGTTACATGGCTCAAAATCGTCTACAATGACGCAGATTCATTTATTCTTTGTCTCCTCAAATTCTAATCTCAATTCCCCATGACCGTTTTTTCTCTTTAAGTTTACGTCACTGGATTATACTTCGCGAATCCTACCGTCGGACCCTAATCTCCATTACCGTTAGTACTGTTACTACCTTTACTACTATGAGATTTGAGCTGGCAATTGGATTTCTTTGCTAATGTGGTATGGCAATTTGAACTGGTGTACATACGTACGACTGAGATGTGATACTATGTTTCTCTAATTCTCTAAAATAAGAATTGCTTAGATTCGTTACAATACAGATTTTTGAATTTTCATTCACTTGTTTCATGGTCATTTCATATGTTTTGTGAAACGTACTCATTCCATCTAGCCAAATCTTTTATTGGAGTTTTAACCGTTTAGACAAAATAATTTGTGAGTTTGCAAGGGAATTTCTGTTTGTGTGTTACCTAGTTTGTCCACCTATTGGAGAACAAATCAGCTCATCCCAGATGAAAAGAATACAGACTAAGTTATAAGACTGAGCTCTCTTGTTCTAACTACTTATAAGGCCCGCACAAAATGGTTTTCCTTTTTTGTCTATATCCCAGTAATTTTGATTAGTAATTTAAGGTTGTGACGAAAACCCCCAAGTAAGTAAAACTTGTAAACTGAGTGCCGCTGTCTACTTGCCTTTACAATCACTTTCTACCTTTTGACAGTAAGTTCCTTTTATTCACGTCGTTTAAGTAAGTTCATGTGTTACGTGACGGTGTTGTTCATAGTAATATGTAAAAACTCAGTTAACTCATTTTTTTTCATAGATATATCGAATATTTATGGAAGATTTCGGAAAACTACCTTCTGAATTATTTGCTAGTTTTGAGTATAAGCCATTGGCTGCGGCTAGTTTAGCTCAAGTGCATCGTGCTGTTACACATTATGGTGAACAGGTTGCAGTGAAAGTTCAGTATGAAGATTTACGTGATCGATTTGATGGTGACTTGATAACCCTTGAATTACTTTTGAAATTAGTTGAAAAAATGCATCCTAATTTTGGATTTGCTTGGGTTTTGCAAGATATGCGCGTAAGTTTTATGGAGTTTCAAATCGAGTAAAATCTGTATTTTTCTCATTCATTAAAGTGATTCGTTTTTCAGTGTTAGCTATATCTATTCATTCAAACTATGGGCTTTAGTGTTTTCATGATATATTTTTTCATAAGTTGATCAGGCTAAAAGATAGTAACATTCAACACATAACAGATGTTAAACCAATCAAGGCAATTTATGAGTCATTAATCAAATTGAAATAGATTATGTGACTATACACAATAGATAGAAGTGTTAATCGATAGTAGGAAAACATGTGTAATGTTAGTAGTAAGAATGATAAAATACAACAACAAGAGTTTTTGTCAACAGTTCAACTTTGGAAGTAGTTGGTCAAACGTGGATAAATAGACTTAAAATAATCACAAAGCTCTATTACAATTAATTAACAAGAAGATAAGATAAGATAATTAAACGGTGGAGAATATAAACGAAATATAAACTGTCTTAGTCGGAACTGTTAATTTTCCGTTATTTTTTAAAGGAAACATTAGCCAAAGAACTTGATTTTGAAAATGAAGCAGATAATTCTGTTCAATGTTCTATCGATTTATCAGACCTTGGGACTTTAGATAAAAATGGCTCTGTCCATGTACCTTGGGTTGATCGTAAACTTACCAGTAAACGTGTTCTTACTGCTGAATTCATTGATGGCATTAAAATTAATCAAGTGAGTCTTGTCTAAAGCATGTACTTTCTTAAATTTGTTACTCTAATCGTACTTTGCTGAATCTAATGAAAGATGTTAAAGTCTATTGATTGTAAATAAGTTGTTTTCTTATGACTCATACATATAAATACTAAGTTGACTTAATACTCCATTTCTGTCCTAAGTCTAAAAAATTTAGACTTGTTTAACACCGTAATATTTCATTTTGTTTTGATTATACTAAAACTGAAAGAATATCTTGCATAATCTGTAACAGTGGATGAAAATGGGTGTGAATTGGCAACTATCTCTGATATCTTATGTACATAATAGTAGCAGCAATATTTTTTGATAACTGCATCCATCTACCTTTACCGGTTCGGTATCTAATATTCTGGATAATCTCATAATGCGATAGTTGACTCCACTCAAGCAGAATCCCTGTTTTCAATTTAAATACAATATTATCAAAACATGGATCAATAAAAGTCATAATATCAAAAGAAAAGTTTTATTTAGAAATATAATGACCATTTACTGTTATCAAAGTTACGCCTTGATACTTATGAAGAGATCAATTGCACTCTGATCAAAACACTCGATGTCCAACCAATGGGACACAAGTTTTGACCCAATCCCACCTACTTCGTCTCGGGGCGTCTGTCGTTGATCGTAATTAAACAAACACTCAACACCAGGAAGCACTGGATGTTTCATCCTAGTGTGAAACTTCTAAGTATTGAGCACACAACCTTATCGAAGACAGAACTCAGTATCTTCAGATATTACTACAAGCCCCTAACTTTCAGATCAACTAAGTCACTATCTGATGGTTTATATTTCTGATTCCAACCAATTTTCAGTGTCGTACAATCATTTTCTATCGCTATTAGCAAGTAACATCCCAACATCCTATATAGTTAAAACCACTGATCACGACTTCATTTTTGTTTCATTTAGTTGTAAACAGAGATAAGTAGTAATTTTTCCATATGATTTCTTTTTTTATACAGGTGGATGCTCTACGTGATGCTGGATTTTCGTTATCTGAGTTGGACAGTTTATTAGTACGTACATTTAGTCATCAAGTATTTTGTACCGGTTTTGTACATGCTGATCCTCATCCAGGCAACTTGTTAGTACGACATAAACCTCAAATTAAATTGAATGTTTTCCGGAAAATTAAATCATCCATTCACTTTATTCCACATCTCATATCTAGTGCGATATTATGGATAGGATTTTTATGCTATTTCCCTTTTAGTATCGTGCAGAAATTAACAAATCCTCATCATAAACTCACATATCCAAGTCGAAATACTACTGAAATTCAGTTAGTACTTTTAGATCATGGTCTATATGATACATTGCCATGTGATAAGCGTAAAGCTCTTTGTAAAATGTATCAAGCTATATTAGACTCTAATGAGTTATCAATGAGAGAAGCTTCTTCCTTTCTGGGCGTTGAAGGTAAAAATATTTATAATTTATTTAGTTTTAAATTTATTATAAGTTGCATCGGATTATTCAAGTGTCTTAGTATAATTTATTGTAATTTCCCACATTTATGTTTAACCGTATTCGTCAGTTGGTTGAAGATTGTCACCAGGAGGAAACTCTAGACCTAGGTTCCCCTTTATTCGGCAGTCTCCAACAAAGTGCATCTGTAATCTTGAGGGAACTGGCGTTCTGATATGCTTGAAAGTATTACGAGTTCATCTTACTCGGTAAACGAGAGCGAAGCGACGATACAGTGACTATTCTGGTTTGATTGTCCCCGACCCTGCTAACTATTGAAAGAAGTCTTGATAAGGCGTTGAAAGTGTATTCTACAAGCACCCAGAAAATACGAGGTTGACGTGCACACTAATCGAGCTTATTTACACATGATAGACACGTCCTTGGGAGAGACACAAAACGGCGTACTAGAATAATCCATCAACCAATGACAGTCAAGGATCTTCCTGGTGGGAAATGTAAGCTGAAGGTCAGTTAAGCAACTTATGCGCAAAAACAACAAATCCAAAATTAGGACCTTTCCCAAGTGAGTTCTGAGGATCTAACGTCCCTGACACGCTCCCCCAATAAATAGATCCCTCATCACTCAGCTTTACAATATGAGATGCTAACTTTGAGTTGTTTGAGTTACGAATAACGTTTTATGTTTACAATTGATTGATCACTGATTAGTGACCGCCATGATGCCTGTTTTATCCTTTGGTCCTGATCAGTAAGATTCAATTAGCATTGAAGTGCTAGATTAAAGTGATGCTGTCCATTACTCAGTGATTAATTAACTGTTTATATCATGTTTATTTGTACATCATCAAAGTTAATTGTTGCAATTCAAAATTAGGTTATAAATACTACAGCGATTAAGGAAACTCAGTTGAGTATTCTGTGTGAGGAGATAGTCGATTCATTCAGCACTCATCTCTACGATGTCTAGCTCACAATTAAGCATTGAAAACTACACTTGACACTTTTTAAACTATACCAATTATTTGGTTCTCAATGTCATATTGGGCTAGTTTATTTTTCTATACTTCAGTTAGAATCATATATATTTAAAGACAAAGGCAGTAATTGTCTATAGAAATCAAATTTAGTTAGGGGGAATGCAAATCGTCAAACAAAATGTCTGAAGTGTTTACCTAATTCAACAAACTGCAGCTCTTCATTGCCTATTTTTAGACTGGTGCATATATCATGTTTATTGCGGTTAGTGGTGTAAAGTTTCATTATGTGGTTTCTGATGATTGCTTGTTTAGAAAAAGTTATTTATCACCTTCCGCTAACCAAAGGGCGGGTGTACTGCGCAGCAGTTCGTTCCGTTCTCTTATATGGCTGTGAAACATGGCCGTTAAGAGTAGAAGATGTTCGTAGGTTACTAGTATTCGATCATAGATGTTTAAGAAGCATTGCTCGTATATCGTGGGACAGCCGAGTAAGCAATGCTGTCGTTAGGAAACGAGTACTAGGTAAGGATGGCAGATCAATCGATGAAGTGGCGAAACTTCATCAGTTGAGGTGGTTGGGACATGTGTTACGTATGCCTAACCACCGACTGCCTCGACGAGCTATGTTTTGTGGCGTAGGAGTAGGTTGGAAGAAAGCTAGGGGCGGCCAGACCAAAACATGGCACAAATCCATGAAGTCTCTGGCAAGTGGACTGAGTCATGTTGGTAGATGTAGACTACCTGGTTGGGGTCCGCGAGACGAAAGTCATCAATGGTTAGAGACCTTGAACGACATGGCTCAAAATCGTTTGCAATGGCGCAGGTGCATCCACTCTTTGAGCTCTCTCAAATCCTAGTCTTCTGGAATCGTCAGCACCCCTACCTTTGTCTTTCTAACCTTATCTCACTGAATTATATTTTTTGAATAATATCTTCGAACCCTAGTCTTCTTTATTAACATTAATACCTCTACTATCTTTATCACTATGGGATTTGATTTGACATTTGCGTTTCTGTGCTAATAATGTGGTATGGCAACATGAACTTATGTACATACATACGAAGTTCTACGTTGCAACTGACTGACTGACTGACTGATTTATCACCTTCAGTTTGTAATACAAAGAGTTAGCACTTAATACTGAATTTTTTCTATGTAGGCGTATTGATTCTAACTCTTGCGAATATCAGTGAAAGGCTTCATTATTTAATTCATGGACTATTAATTTACTAGTATTACGTACGAATTTTTTAAAGGTCAGTAAATTAATTTCTGGGTAACAGATCCACTTTTAAATAATATTTTACTTAGATTGGTCTACTTTCGGAGAGGTTATTGTGCAAAGACCTTGGCGTCGTCAAACTCTTAGGTTACCGTCACAGCTTTCAGCAGCTGATAAAGCTTATATACGAGCTACAGCAGTGGAACATTTTGATCGAGTTATGTCGGTTCTTGAACAGATACCACGTCCAATGCTTCTATTTATTAGGTAAGTATTTTTTGTCAAGGTGAAATAATTTAAAAAATTTCGATGTGGAGTTTATGCTTTTTCTGTTAAGTTTGATCATCCAGTTCATGAACATATTCTTTACAGTAATGCACTCATATATTTAGCAAAATTTCAACCACCATCATAGACTCAGCCAAGCAGACTATAGTCGTGATTATACATTGACAATGTTACTCATTTACTTACTAATATATTTAGTTATTACGCTTTGAGTGTGTGAGGATTAATTGTACTGTCTGTACATCAAAACCCAAGTTGGCGGGGTGGGACTCGTACCTACCACTTATTGGTCAAATACGTAGCACTAATCACTACACCAGCATTTCATATAATTGTGGACAAATCCTTTACCTTTATACCGTATAAAGTTATTTGGTTCCATCTACAAAATCACTTATCTTACTTTATTAGGTACTTCCTTAAAGTTTCCGCAAATAATCATTGTGCACTATTATTGTCTATTATCATATCTCTCGGAAGGATTGGTGATTGTTACAGTAATGACAGAATATATACATTCAGCATAAAGATAACAAACTGTATCATGATAAAGTCAAAATGGTTGTTTTTCATCACTTAACTTTAGCGAACACAACACTCAATAATTAAAGTAAAATTGAGACGTGATCGGGTGATTAGATTTGGTGGTTTAGATATTTACACTTACTCTATGACCGGTAGTTTGGAATTCAAGATCTTTATGGATTTCAGTCACCGTATATATTAAAAGATAATAATAATTTTAATTATTCATTAATAACTTTTCTATAGTTAATTTATTGATGCAGTTTTATTTAATTGTAGGAATTTAAATCTTATTCGTTCTATATGTCGTTCACATGGTGATCCAGTTGATCGTCATTCTTTAATGATAGGTAGTGCCGTTCTTGGTAGTAGAATTACAACTTCATATTCTGGAAAGTTAATTCCTTTATCATGGAAGGATAGATTAGAGGTGAATATTATACTGCAACGGTATTATTGGAAATTAAGGTATGTTTAAAAATATTTATGAATAGTTCCGCAATCGTCTTCATTATGTCACCATGTGCTTGTGAATTCTTTTGCTACGCGATTACCTAGTATACATTTTCGTGTGAACTATTCAGAATTAATTCTGTTATGTTGTAGTTTGACACTGCTTCCAGGAGGCTTTAACCGAGCATGTTAAAGGGATTCCTTTTTTTTAATTTTAAACTGGCTGTTCACAATCTCTCATTTTATATAGTACGAAATAAAAAGGTGGTATCTCATAAGTTGCCAATGTTGGGGACGGTAGATCCCCAGAATCCGCCTAATAAATTTCTTAATTTTGGATTTTTTCATGGGCTGATCAGTTGACCTTCAGATCACGTTTCCCACCAGGAAAGTCCTTGGTTGTGATTGGTTACTATGTTATTCTAGTAAGCTATTTTTGTGATTCTCCCAGGGACGTTTCTATGGTATATAAATAAACGCGATTTGTGTGCTTGAGTTCATTGTACTTGCTGGTTGTTTGTAGAATACACTTTCTACGCCATATCAAGACTTTTCCTTCAGTTTGTTGGCGCAACGGATCGGAGTAGCCTACTGTATCTCTGGGTCATTGTCTCGTTATCGTTTATCGATTAAGGTGAACTCGTAATAGTTTCAAGCATATCAAATGACGAGCATAACAGCCAATCAGTTAGTTTACCATATCTATGGACTGAACTTATTCCTTGTGATCTGTTAGTGTACATCTCTAGACTATAATTCCACTTTTAATTCTGTACCCAGACCAGAATTATCAAGCAGATTTTCCAGCGTTAATTTCGAGGGCTGTCTGATCAATTTCTTGTGTTCTTATCTAAAACAGCGAATTATACTAAGCTTAGAAGAAAGCACTCTACTCTACTCACCATTCTGATGTGCGGCGTCCGTGATCTGAGCCTGTTACACGGTAACCTCAAACTGACTACTTGATTGAAAATGCGAGAGTGGAAGAGGAAGTCTACTTGATTACCGAATGATATTTATTGATATTTATTTACCTGTATACATTTCTCCTCCTTAGGAAACCAATTCATTTCTCGGCCACTGTATTCATTTCTGATTGACACCAAGTAACTTTCTCCTATGGTTTATCGTGACTGGTTCACCATATCACCTTACCCTACTGAAAAATAAGTCTAGCTTCTTGGGTTTGTCTGAAGGCGTTGAGAGAAACGACGTTTTCTGATGATCTTGGGGTCTGGTTGTTACTTTCTGAATTGACCCGGTCGCTCCTGACTAACCGTGTCATTTGTAAGTTCTAGCTAGGGGGTTCCGTATTCTAATTCAGCCTTCTGTTCAGGATATGGTTTGCATGTTGTGTCAAACGTTTCACTCGAACATCAATTTTTTACATCACTTCACCAACCCTTTTACGATGATACCTAATAGCCACAGAGACTTCACTGTTGGAAGTTCGTACATACAGTGGTAATCTTTCCGGGAATCGACGTTCAGTTTTCCCTACCTTGGATTTATATTCCCACTTGTTTTTCTGTGAATTTATGGCGTCAAACGAAGTCGAGTCTTTCTTCTGAACTTTGCTTCATCTGGGAACACAGGACACCCTTATATAAGTCTGGGTTCGGGGTTATTCTAGGTGGTGTTCTCCTTAATGACCTTCCCTTGTACTTATTTTAAAAATCACCGGGAAACTTCTGCTTCCGTTTGTTCTTCATAAGAGAATGGAAGGATTAAGGAGAAAGTTTTTTTCTTAATGAAGTCATTTACTTAAGCTATACATTCGTATTTACAGTTAATAGGTAGATATTTCTATAGCAAGATATAGGAGAGATTGCATCATCAAGTGATCCGTGATTTCAAATATCAAAAAGAGTTAGAAGAATAGGGGGATGAAAATACTTTAAAGATCAGAAATATGTGATATAATTGTCCACTTGATGAATATTAAGTAAATGCAAAACTCTAAGGTCGTGATAATAGTTGAATAATAATCATGAAAGTTGATAAGGAATAATAATTGACCACGGTTTAAACATACAAAAAATAATAAAAACAAAACAAAGTCGAAAACATACTTGAGAATGGTCTTAGAGGCAGAAAAGCATAAGAGGTTGAACAGGTTGCGTATATAACTACTGCAAGGAAAGTCCTTTTCACTCCCTTCTCATGTAGAGAATGTTGTCTACGGGATTATGAGGACGAAAATTAAATATCCGACGCTTTAAGCAGGTTCGTGGGTAAGGAGAACCCACCAAGAGGAGTTGGAAAGCCCTGATTCTAAACCGATGCTGCACGTAGGTTCCAGAATCCTCATGAGACGAATGGCGTATGAACCTGTTATTAGTCACTGGCCACTGGGAGATTATAATCCCTTAGGTTATTCCACTGCCTTATGGATTAGACCTATAGATCAAAGGCTCGCGGAGTTACTCCCTAAGGAAACTATCTGTCGCGTTTTGGGGATCCGAACAGCATCCCAACCCACACACATTCATTGATTTTTGTGGCGCAACTATAATTCGATGCATCATCGTACCAATAACTATGTGTTTAAATAGAAAAAATATATTTAGGTATTTGGTGGATATTTTGATGTCATTATGACTAAGACTGTGTATAGGCATTTTTAAATTTTACCAACTGCTGGCGGGTGTTACTTTACAGTTGTATATATCTTGATGTTCTAATAAATATTTCATTTGATTATTTCGTGTCTAAAAATGCATGTATTTACCTATTTTTGTGATGTATAAAAAGAGTGAGTAAAAGTAGTTGAAATACTGTATGCTGATTATTACATATAATATTGACTAAAGCCATTATATTATATTTTTTTGCTAATTATGCAAGGCTAGTTAAATGTAAGTCAGTTCATCCCAAATAATTACCTGTGTTGTTATTGTTCATATTCTTGTTAATTGCTTTCTTTTTTCACTTTGTTTCATTACTCAGATATGAAATGTTATATGTATGGATTGAAGGTTTAATCTACCAATTATTATATGCTATAGGTCAGGCACCTGATATAAAAGAGTTATCATCATTGTATAATGCTTCAGTTCCTAAAAGTTTATCAGCTAACATTTAACTCTTAATCTTATCAAATATATATATGTATATATATAGAGAAACGATGATCAATTTTATGCAAGAAAGAAGTCATTACATTATTATTTTCAGAGGAAAAAAAGGTGCCTTCATATTATTAATTTATTCAAATTAATATTTATTTTATGCTTAATCGTTTATCATTTCTTCACTCTCTATCCTTGGTCTTTTACAGTGTTCTCTTTTCATTTTTGTAACTTGTTTCAATCGTTTGTTTATGTGTTCATAATTGACTCATGTAATTTCTGTAAATATATCCTTCTATTGAACATGTGTAGATCATTGATAAAAATATATTAATTTAATGTCCATTAACAACTGTATTACCACTTTTTATGCTTGAATAATGCTTCATACTTATAAATAGTATAATTTTTAGTTTAAATTTATTGACATCTTCTATTCAGTCCAATCTAATGTTCGTGCTCATTGTTTTCTATGGTACACAATACAGTAAAAATTATTCGTCAATTTTGTTGAAAACAAGTGCTTTATTGATTAAATTTCCGATAGATACACTAAGTGAAGTATTCATGAGGTTCATGTTTATTATATACCTTTATCTGAGTGGAATGTTTTGCCAAAAAATTTGAAGGTCCTTCATTTAATTATTTGGGCAAAAATAATAAACATATTATGGCTTCGTATTCAGTGAAATTTAATGTAGTAATAATTTAGATAGGAAAGATGTAGGATATCAAGTTTGGGTAGAATAACAATGATTGCGGTGGTAAAGTTCGTGTTATACGAAAAACTTAATTTGGTTTTTTAGATTTTTTCAAGTTCCTGTATAATAACATTTGCTGGACAAGTTTCAACTTACATAATGCTTGAAGGTACGAACACTTTCCGTCCTATTGTTCCAAAATTTCTAAATAACTATAATGTCAGTTTAGTTGATTATTTCTAGCCTTACTATCCCTGCAGAAATCTCCATTTTAGGTAGGTAAAAATTAATATTGTGTTTGTATGCTGTTGGAAATTATTAGATACCAATTAGTACTTTTCAAAATAACCTATCTTAATGCCACTGACATATATTTATGACATGGATACTTGTGTATATGTTGTTTGAGTTTTAATTTCATTTCGAATTACGTTACCCAAAATGAAACAGTTAGTCTTCATTATGGAAAGCCAATCCTGGTCCTTTTAATTAAAAGACGTAATTTACACGTGAGTTGAGCAATGTTAGAAGATAATGTCCTATGATAAACAGGGTGTCAGAGTTATGTTCGTACCACACCAGTTCCTTTAGAACCCTAGACCATGTTTTCTTCAGTCTGGAACTAAAGGATCTATCCAAGTTCTTAGATGGATCCTTCGTATTCACAAACCAGTATAACAATTACTTCACTCATCCGGCTAACGCTTTTCACAAACTGCAGGAGAATTCGTTAAGGTTTCATACACTGCGGTGTCTTTGCTTCAAGTTGTGTTT